TTTTAATTAACTACAATGTGTAATTATATTAATTAAATAAAATTAAATTTAAGCCGCAAAAAGCATAAATAAATGAAAATCAAACGTTGGCGTTGAAAAAAGCAAAAAAAGAATGTGTCATAATTTTTTAAATTTAATTAAATTTTTTTTGCTGTTTAATGAACCAATAAAAATGCAAAAATGCGCTTAGTTGATCATAAGTGCACCTCTGTGGACTTAAGAAAAACCAGAGCAAACTTATAGTCCAATGGGTAAAGGGTGCATTGAAATGAGAGGTAAAACAAATATCTCCATTCAACAAAGAAAATATTGAACTATTTTTGCTAAGAAGGATAGATTAAGTGGTTTGTATCTGTGAACTTTAAAGGTGACTGCAGTTTGAAGTATTATATTGATAAATTAAGCTTTATTGAAGACACTAGTCTCTTTCAATTTAGTGAAATGAATAAAGAAAGCACAGACTGCATTCTTCGTTAATATCATGCTCTTTGTATACAAAGATTTCACCACTTTTGAGGCGTGGTTTCTATATGTCTCTATATAAATATTATTGATGAATGTCTTTTGGTAGCAAAGGCTACAGCACTTTGGAAGCGTTATTATATCTACATATAAACTCCGATAAAACAAACCCTAAACTTTGCTAAAATTTACAAAAATTCCTAATATACACATTTAAAACGCATGGCTATGGTTGGAGTAGCGGCCTTGTATCCCAAAAAGCTCACTTGAGCTCAAATGATGGCCCATTGTGGTGGCTATAACCAATAAATAAATTTTGGACACAGTGCATCTCAGCTTCTGGTAACAAAAATATTAATAAGTATTTTTATTACTTGAAAAATTGATTCGAATAATGTACCGACTATAATTCGTTGAAATAAAGTTAAAAATTCAAAAGTTCAGTTTTAAATGATGAAATTGCTTTGTAGACTTGAAATGGTGTAAAGTGGTACCGAAGCTACAATAATCTCATATCTGAACTGGTATGTATAAATAAAGTGACACTCTCCCGAATACCTGGTTTCGAAACATTTGGTAATAATAAATAGCTAACAAGCTTTGTAAGGACCGTGTCTTAACCTCCATCATAAGAGACTATGTGAGATATTTACTTGTCACTTTGACCAAAACTTAGGTATATTAAATGAAAAGTATGAATTACTTAGAAATCATGGATTGATGTTAAATAGTGAAGCCAGTTTAAACAAAAGATAATAATAACAAAAATAATAACCGGTTTCTCAGGTTAAAAAGAACTAATCTTAGATTGATTACTGAATTTTTTACTACACTCATTACATTAACTAATATCTTTCTAAAATGAAGTTAAAGAACGTTGACATCTGTAGATTCGCTGAGATGAAGTGTGAAACATATGCTTATCCTATATGTGAGTGCTTATCCCATTGTTGAGTTTATTAATAGCCTTAATTTTGTGTAAATTGTGGGAACAATCATAACTTCATTGGTGGTAATAAATAAGAAATAAGACTCCTCATCGTTTCAAATAATTGATCATTACTAATTATATCAGTTAACATATTACGGCAACATTCTATCGGTTCACATATATCTGTTTTGTGGAAAAATTTCGTCCATCATGAAATTCTAGCATAATAGCGACATAGCACTATCTATAACCATACAACCAAAAGTGGCAACTATTAGATTTCTTGAGTATTGGAATATCATATTCTGAAACACAGTTTAAACAAAAAATTAGGTTTAATAGAAGGAAGAAGCTATAGTACGAATGCCATCAAATGAAAAATTTCTCACAATTTAAAGTACTCTTTATCAAGAATAAAGTTTATTGACATATAAGATATTGCAAAAAATTGTAAATTGAATTTGTTAATAAAAACTTTCACAGCGAAGTAACAAAATTCCAGAAAAATGTGGAAACATAACAGTTAAGTACGACTTTGGGTCAATTGGTTAAGCAGTGCTGACTCTAAGCTTCAAATTTGGCAGGGTACGAGTTCGATTTCAGATACTTGCAGTCTCAAAAAATTATTTACAAATAATTAAATACAAAATATAATCCCAAAATTACTCATTATGGATATTTGGTAATATTCCCAACAGCTTTATGGTCAGCCAAAAATTAAATTAATTAAAAATAATATAAATATAAGTTTTGTTGCTATAGCTCACTACTGTTCGAAACTAATCTATTACATACCACAGTTTCTGCTAAAGTAAAAATGATCACTTCAGTCAAATTGACGTTAAAATTAAATTTAATTTGAGAGGACAAAATGTTATTTACATTCAAAATTCTAAAAAGACATTTTCGTAAAGGTTTATATTTATCAAAAACAAAAATAATAAATATTATTTTATTTAATGCTTATTAAAATTATTTATTATTAAATTTTATTATTAATGATTATATATTTATTAAAGTTATTATTTCCGCTTAAATAAATTGCTTTACCCTTTGAAAGGTTTGTGTACTAACTATATCTTTGCCTAATAATACTAGCGACCTCTATCGGACATGTTAATATATATGATTAAATATTAGAACCCATGTTTACAAGAGGGTGCACTTGCTACAAATTTTTGTGTAAACATGTTGAAGGAACAATAGCAACATATTTCAACACCTCATGTTTGCCATCTGTTGTTTAATAGAGGTATTAATATTGAAATATCTAGTCATTGTTACACCAACACATGATTGCAGTCTGCACATAAGGCATATTATATATTAAATAAATCTAAACAATTTAAGAGTGTAGTATTGTTTAAAGATCAATTTTTTTATAAATACTAATTCTGAAAATTTATATACAAAGTATGAAGATATTTATATATTGGTAGCACAACTTAATGTTTGGTAACAATGTTCCTATCCTAATGGTTGGAGTATAGAATAAAAATCTCTCTCTGTACCAAAACCATTTTGGGAACATTGTTGATAAGCTAAAAATGTTTTACTTATTAAAGTTTTATTCAAGCATTTCCAAGCAGTTGAGGAGTTGTTGAATAATTATCGTTACGTTCCAGTGCATAAAGTAGTTACCAAGAAAATAATAAAAAATTATTAATTAATATTAAATTATTAATTAAATAATATAATTATTCTATGCTAACAAATAATATTACAAAGATAAGTTCAAGAGAAAATATTTTTTAGAATGTAACATAAGTGTGTGAGAGAGAGAGAGAGAGAGAGAAGTTTTTAAATAATTTTATCAGCTCAACAATATTTTGAGTTATAGATCTATGTGTAAGTTGGACACAGTGGCGTAACTACATTTTTTAGGCCTGTAAGCAAATTCTAACTAAGGGGCCCCTACCAACATACTAAGGGGCCCCTCTTTTTATACTCTTTACACGAAAAAATGTGAAAAGGATATATAAGGTTTGTCAAGATTTTCGTAACGCATTGAAGGAAACGTCGGAAATACCATTAAGTATATATCAGTACAATATATATATACTTTTTCAGTTCAAACTACTCTCTCAGCTTTTGAACTCTTCGAATGAAACTTTACACACATACTTTTCGGGAGCCGACCCTGTTCACCATTTGATTTGATTGAAATTGGACGTCTATTTCTTGTAGCTGTGATATAAACTTAACAATCAGATATGAGGTTGCTCCGTTTTTTAATAAAGGTATTTCAAATGGAATTTTGGTGTATACAGTACTGATATTTGCAAAAGACAACGTACCAAAATTATTTTCAAATGGGTTTTAAATCTAGATATAGCTTCCATATAAGTCTTTCGATTAAGAACATATTTTTTCTTAGAAAACTTTTTTATTTTATAAATAGGTTTAATATTTTATTTGAAGTACATACATATTATATGTACTTAAATTTAAAATTTACGTATCTTTTATAAAATGCAATATGATGTTATTCCAACAAAAAACGTTTCGTCCCACTTTTGAGAATTTATTAAAAATAAATACAATGAATACAAAAATTTATGGTGGGGCCCCCTAAATTCGGGGGCCCGAAAGCGTTGCTTCCAGTTGCTTCCCTGTAGTTACGCCACTGGTTGGACACTTGTTGGACACTTCTTAGGAAAACTTTGGGTTTCCATATAGCGCGGTAAGAAACATGGCTTGCTTTATATAGAAGACAGAAGAAAATGAAAACACAGAAAAGAATAATAAATGTTAGGACTAAGGAAAAATTGTTGTTGTTTTTATTGTAAGTTAAAAACTTAGTTATGATAGAAAGATATAAATTGTGATTAAAATTTTGGTCAAGATGACGAGGCTTTCTATGCCTCGTCAAGTTTTTCAAAACAGTGCTACTCAGTATTAAAATCAGTGTTTGCGCGTATTTAGGTTAATGATTATGATTAATTTAAATGTAAACTTATCCTTACAAAGATAATATATATAATAATATAATATAATAGCTCGTAGCTTTTAAATTAATGCACAAAAGAAACGAATAGAAATAGAAGTAAATGTAGGAAATCGACAATATGGCAATATGGCTTCGGTTAGAACCAAAATGAACGTAAAATTGCCGTGACCATTCGTCATATGACTTTCTACATAACATGATCTTTAGACTAGTGAAGAGGGTGCCGTAATTGTGAGTATCACAGTGACGTTATTATCGAGACACGCAAATCGTGGTCCAGTAAGCGACGATCTAATTCCACAGCTTTGGGAGTTTTAGGGCGAAATTGCAACTACCTCGATTAAAGTCGTTTACTATACTTTGTTTAACATTGACCATTTCTGTCAGATAAAGTTTCTGCTCTGATTGTCTGGGTTCTACCCAGCACTTAGAAGCATATGTCATCGCTTGTCTCCTTTTTTTTAATTTTCGTTCAAATAAGTATAAATCTAAATAACTAATTTACTTATAAATACATAATATTTGACTGATTAAATTGTCATAGTAAAAGTTTTCAAAGCAATAATTTTTTAAATTATTTATGATAAACTACAGTAAATGTGTAGAATAAAAAAAAGAAAAAAAAAAGGAAAAACAAAACAATAAAACAAGAAAAGATTCTACTAACAAAAAAGAAGAAAACCAAAAAAGATGGTTAAAAAGGATAAAAATAAAAACAAAAAAGAGAATACAACTACTAAAGAAGTGAAAAAAGAGGAAGTAAATAATGAAAAAGAACTGCAAGAAAATGGAACTGATAACAATAAAGAAAACAAGTCTAAAGACAATGATGAATTGAACAAAATTGATGAAAATAATGATAATAATGTAAAGGAAGAAGGTAAGAATAGTAAAGATGAGAAGAAGAAAGCAAAACAAGACACAAAGCTTGAAAAAACTAAAATTAAAAATGATAATAAAGAAAAAGATAAAAATGAAAAGGAAGCGAAAAAAGTTAAAAAAAAGAAGCATTCCAAACAGCAAAGTATCGATAACACGACTCAAAAAAATGACAAATTAAACGAAACTCAAAAAAGCAATGATGAAGAAAACGAAAAAATTTATACAAAAGCGGAACAAAATAAAAGCGACGACAATGAGAAAGAAGAAAAAGAGAAAGAGAGTAATGCGAAGAAAAAAAAGAAAAAAACCAATAAATTAATAAGATACATAAGAAGACTACCCATGAAGCTGGTAATATCTATTATGATTTGTGGCTACCTGGTAGGAGTGGCAATTACAGTCCTTTTATTTTTTCTATCCGTTCAAAGTAAGACAAATGAGAAATTCAAAAATATGTGGATATTTTGCACGATCGTTACTTTTATAATGCTTGTGCTCTGCTATAGTCGGCATGTTAGGTAAATGATATACAATAGATCTATTCCACGAGCTACTCGTAGTAACTTTGAGTAACACTGTGTATACACAAGTTCGTTTCACCAGAAAATTTTCGTGTATTTTCATGTAAATTTTACTTGTGTTTTACTTGAATTTCACTACGAGTAACTCGTGGAACAGACCTAATATATTTTACTTTTAAAATTTACACTGTATTTATTGCAGATGCGTTGTAGTTTTAACTTTGCCAGTAATATTTAGTGCTAAGGGACGCTCTTTGGTTATAGCTTTAGCATTTATTTTGGCTGCAACGGGCCCAATAAGGAATATACTGAAAAACGTTGAAGTGTTGGCGGATAGTTTAACATGTGGTCAAAATCAACTTAGAGAGGCTCTCACCAATATGCTAGATATTCTTAAGAGACCATTGGTTGCTGTTAAGGAAGCTATTCAAAAGGCTATGGCTGAGGTGCGAAAAGTAATGGAAAGAGTCAAATTAGTTTTAGAACGAATACAATCAATTTTAATGCTACTTTGTAAGTAATCGCACTTTCTTTGAATATAGATATATGTTGAAACTGTACAGATTGTTGTAAAATCTCAAACATAAAAATTATGAAGATTTTATTTTAATAAAAGTGTTACTATGACTACATAAATTACCAATATACAACGTGACGTTTACTTTTCTAATTCAAACAACCAACAAAGCCAACCTTTTATCTAAGTTGGTATATTGGTACAACTTCACAGGACTGAGAGTATTACCAAAAAAAAAATTTTGCTTTTGAATAAAGGAATAGGTTAAATATGACCTAAAGAAGTAGACTCATATAATTATCAGATGGTTCAATTATTCTTAACTGATTTTGTTAGTAGCTTTTTTCTCTAGATAATTATATTATATAGCAAAAACAGGATTATAATATATGTATATATATAATGTTAATACTTTTTCTATTTATTTCTATATAGTAGCGGGAATCAAAAATGCATACAATTGGCTCAATAGTTTAGTAAGCGTGTGCAATAAGGAGTTTGGTACACCTTTTGATCGTTGTATAAAAATAGCCGATGATGCAATGGCAGATTGCAGGTAAGTAATATTTTTAGTCATTCCTTATAAGTTTCAATTAACTCAATACTGTTACATATATACTGTGTTTATATGTTTACTGTCGAATTGCATTTCAAGTTAACACCTTTGGTGGGACTCTTCAGAATAATTTTATTTTAAAGAATCATGTCAATTGCTAAGGAACCAAATCATTTAAACGCTCTAAGTGCAGTGATTTTAATGTGATAAACGAAGAACAAGCAAGTCAAGAATTTAAATGACATTCTTAAATAATTGACCACTCCCCACATATCTCATATCTGGTCTTTGTTACTATTTTTTTATTTAAAAGTTTTTATCACATGAGGAAATGAAATTTTTAAAGTCTGAAAAACTATTTAGAATAGTTTAAGAAGCATGCTTAGAAAAAGTACATTGAGACTATAAAAGATTATATTCAACACAAAAAAAATCATATTGAATAACTTTAAATGTTAGATATATAAATATCACTACTAAACACTACAAAACACTTAAGCTACATTAGTCCGTAGTGATATAACACAATCCCAGAGGGGCCCTTGATCAAATTATCAGATCTCGTAAAACTATTTTGTTAATGTAACAAATTATTGTAACATTGTTAGAACTGCCTTGACAAATAATAAGATAATTCTCAGCTGTTAATAACATAATATATGGTAATATTTTTTTTTAACTATCTGTGCAAGAGCAATAAAGAAGCTGTCTCATGGTTTCTTCTTCTTCCTCATTAGTACAGCTTCAGCAATAATTACTGAAATCAAAAGATGTGGCGACCCACAAAACAGTTTTTGTTTCCCTTTCCAAAAATAACTTAAAAACCGGAACACAATTTCTATATACAATCAAAGACGTTCCATATGTCTTGGCGTGCCACAATGTTTTGGTTTGAAACATCTAGTTAAATCATTTTTACGAATATATGGTTTAGACTACTGAGAAGATTACTGATGATAAATAGCTTTATTTATCTACATTGAGTAAAGTCTAGTTTTATTTAAAGAAAGCAAAAATTTTATTTGGGAACATTGATTGATATTCAGTTAAGACTTGTTCTTTGCTTAAAAAATTTTTTAAATTATTTTTAATACTTTTATTTATCAATATATCTCACATATTAATTTAATATACTTGTAAATTTTTACTACTTCTTTTTAAGAGACAAACTAGGTGTATTAGACACTCTCTGCAATTTCACAGAATTATTTCGCATGCTTTGCTATACAGTAAAGGTCATCGATGTTATTTGCGTATTCGTGGACTTCTTCAGTGATCAAATCATCAATTCCATTTTAGAACGTGAGTTTTGATACGCTTACGATTTCTTAGGTGCAGCTTTTTAAAAACTTCGACATTCTAAGCAACTTTGTCTACTACAAAGTATATGTTTATATGGTTTAGTTCTCGAGATATCGGTATTAAAAGTTGCTGGATTGTAAACTTGTTAATCGTAATTTGTGTAATTAGTGTAAAATTTTCATGGATTGCTTGCCATAATTGGCGGTGCGTATAGTTAATGATATATAATTGATGTAAGAAGTTTACAACTCCAATATATCCGATATCTCCAGAATCAAGAAATAGCGGCATAGGCATTGTTTAAAAAAATGAGCTCCGAATAACTAATGTAACGAATAGCCGTCGTTTAAATTGCTGAACTTAAGGAATTATAATCGTCTAAGTTCCATATTTATAATAATTAATGCTTTTCGAATTTTTAATCTTTTTAATTCCTTTTATAGGATTAAAGCAATTTTCAGAGGAAATAAAGAATATGTTCGATGTTTCGATAACTTTTGAGCACGATTTCTACTTTAAAACGGAATCATCGAATGATTTAAAAACTGTAAGCAAAAGAGTTGTCAAAGAAATTCGTAGTCGCATGAATCCAATATTTTTAGCAATGGGATTTTTAGATATTATTGGAATCATTTTATTTTTTTTTATTTTCATCAAGTAAGAGATATAATTAAATCTTTCATAAAATATTAAAAAAATACAATGTATTTATATTTCAGAGCAATTTACTTTAGATATAAATATTTGAATAATGTTCGCTACAAAAATGTTTATATAACTAAAGATTTCATTGAAATCGATGAGAAACGTAAGGAACAGAAGAGTAAGGATCGAGCGCTGCCACTTGATGTTCTTGAAATGCCCATCTATGTTAAGGTAGGATTAATTAAACATTTGTGAAAATAGTTTTGTTTTTTGCATTTTTTTTCAGATTTTCAATTTTCAATTGACAGCTAACGAAATTTTGAATATATCTCATTCCATCGTATTTCTATTCATCACAACTATGCAACTAACTATCATTTGCGCCACTGACTATTCCTTTTATTGGTGCTTGGACCTCATCGCTTATTATGGCGACATAGAAGCTGATTTGGAAGGTAAGTTGAAATAAGATTACCTTACTGAGATTTTTTGTTTATAAAATTAAAATATTGATGTATCATCTTTCTATTCTAAAAAGTATATATATTTTCCATGGGGAAAAATTTGGCACATACAAAAGTGTGCCAAATTGTATCTAGGACTAGCATATTCTACATAATTACGAGATTTCGACTTCCCGGGTGTACTGATTTGCTAGTCTGTTTTGATAGAGTCAACTACTTTGAGTTACTTTTTCCATTATGCTGTGTGCCGATTTTTATTTTAAATGATCTGGGTTTTAACAATCTGACGAGCATCTTTGAATAGTCTTAAAATGTTCTGCAGTTATCTGCAGTCTCCTTAAAAAAATTTGAATAGAATATAAAGTTACAATAAATTTAGAGTTTTCTCAGTAAAGTGTTTTCGTTTAATTGATTATATTGTAAGACTTCTAAAATAAAGTAACAACATCTGATGAAATGACGAATACATTAATCGTTTAATATTAATTAACTCCTTTATATTGCTTTTCCCTAGTTAATATTTTTTATTAAAATTTTTATTAAAATGTGTATTAATTATAATTGTATTTTTACAGTGCCACCATACATAACTGTTGATGTGAAGGGTGGTGGAGTAGCAGGTGACATGTATGGTGGAATTGTACATGCTTTCGAACCTAATACACAAAACTATACCATTGATTCTACAAGCTGCCTACCAAGGGCTAAAATACCAAATTTTAGACGTTATCAACTAATTGGTTTGCTCTGTGTGATGGCCTGGATTATGCTATTTACGCAACCCTATGGTTTACGTTTACGACATCTTGTAATGCGTTACTATTACCCGGAGGTATCTCAACGTCGTGCTTTATGGCTATATAATCATATTTTACTTAAAAGAGGTTGATAAGAAATATATTTCGTAGAAATTTATAAGTTCCACAAATATTTAGTTAACTTTTACAGAAACTATTTTTAAATTGGCAAGAAGAAAGGTGCGGACAAAATTGCTCAACGATAAAGTTTCTGATAATTTTACTTTTATGGATTGGTTAAGAGTGAAAGCAGAAAGGTTTGTGTATTCTCAAATATGAAAAAATCTAAAACTAAAGTTAAATTTAATTTCTCAATCACTTTTAGTTACATATGTTGCAGTCTCTTAGTACGACTCTTATGTGGAAAAAGAAAAGTTGATCTGTGTTTAATATGTGCAAAAACTTTGCAAGGGTAAATTAAGTTTATTAATTGAAATATTTTAAAATATAATATGATATCAAATCTTATACTTCATTGACATTGTCTGATTTACGCACTTGCTTATTTATATTAATGAGTGAACGTTCACATTATAATAAGCTCAAGTATGCAGGTGATAGAACTTTTATAAACTTCACTTTATAATATATTACACAAAGTCTCCATAAGTCGAATATTTTCTTTGAAAAATTATACTTCCAGTTATGGAAGTTGGACTGTATATAATTGTATATCAAAATTTCAAAACTATAGCAATATTAACCTGCCCATTTATCGTACATCAACTATAACTTCTTTAAAAATTTTATATTGACAATTTTGATTACAATTCTGATATATTATATTTAATTCCGTTTTATACATTATTTAATAATATATCATTATACAGTATATATTATTAAAATCGAAATTATTAGGGACTCGAGTCTGTACTATAAAATGAGGAAAATACAATACCAAATAGCTAAGATATGTACTCAAATATATATATATATATATACAAATTATTTACTTCCTAGCTAAGTAGCTTTATATATTTCTACAACTTTTGTAATTATATAGCACAATAAATGTAATAAAAGTAAATTTACTTTATATAGCTCTGACAAAGTGAAATGTCCTAAATTTCAATGTCCTGGGCTTTACTGTAAGAAATGTTATACAAGCTCCAATAGTTCTTGTTGCATATGTCAAAGTCCCTTCGAGTGTGGAGATCAAAGCGATTTATCCCAAGAAGTGTAAGTAGCAGCGGATAATACAAATAAAAAACCATTTAAAATATTACGCATATATTATAAATGATTTAATAAAATATCTATATTTAGAGACTCATCCGAACTTGATGAAGTACATGTACCTGAAAGTGACCCAATTTGCAAAATCAATCATTAAATGAAAAGAATATATATATTCGGTTATAATAAATCGTTTTTCTAATTCTAATGTATATATATTTTACAGTTAATTTATGTTCAGTTTGAATATTAATTAAAAATTAAAATAATCATTAAAACAAATTCTATTGTTAATGCATGTTAAAATAAATATATTAAAAACATTGTTCTTTTGGTAATAATATATTTGTTTATTTAATTAATCCTTAAGTATGCATTATTTTTTTTTAAAAAATAAACATAATAACATTTGGTTTTTCAAGTACTGCCAAATTGGTTATAAAACCAACTAAAAATATTTTCTGTCTACAATTGTTAGAAAACACTGTCCACATTGTCAGCCAAATAAGTCTTAACCACTTTAAATAAATGCCACATTTCCAAATCTTTACTGAAGCCTTAAACGTCTTCCTTGTATTCTCTTAATTTGGAGTTATTTAAAAAAAAAAAATAGAAATAAATTTCTATGTTGTATGAAAGTTTGCAATCCATTCTTGTTTTCTCGGTGACATGACATATTTGCCACTTTGCGTAGCTGAAGTCTAAGTCTCAGTCTCAGACATGTGAGACATGATCATGGCCAAGAAAAATGGACAAATTGCCTTTTTTAGTGGCGGTCACATAACAAATGTGGCGGTGGTAAGTTAAACATGTTCTGGAATTTAAAGTGCAACTGCACGTATCAACAATTGTACATAGATATTGATACTTTTTGCTAGTAGATTGCCCCTTAAATTTACCATACGGATTTTAAAAAACCTGATGGATGAATCGCATGTACTCTTGAAAAAATTTTTGAAATTTTTTTATCGAAACTAAAAAGCTTTAGAAGGAAATGATTTCGAGGAGTCCAATTTTGTGAATTGGAATATATATGTATATATCATTTTTATTTAGGTAATAAATGTTACAATGTTAATTACTGTGAAATTTTAGTTGTATTATTGATTTTTTTTTTGATTAAATCGATTGTACGACACATGTTTTCTTCTTATTCATGTAACATATTGTATTTGAAACTTCAAATAAATAGTTTTGGGAAATTAAAATAATTTTTATATTACAATATAATAAAATCTCAAATTTATGCAAAAGAATGAATCATTTAAAAAATTTTTATTTACATATTTGAAAATTTTTGCAAAAATGTTAGTGCAGTGTTGCTTATGTTCCATAATTTACTACTTACAGTTATTTTAATTAATACAAAATAAAAAAGTAAAATGCATTTAATTTAGTTAATGGTAATTATAATAGAACTATAAAAAAATACGAACAAATCATCTAAAATGAACAACATTAATTTTTTCCAAACTATGAACACTAGCCAAAGAGGTTAAACTATGTTAAATGCACTCGAAGTTACAAGACCGTCTTGAATCTGTTGAATTCTTTAGCGAAGTTAAAGACAAGTTAACGATAACAAAATAATTCATTATATTCATTTTTATTTTATATATATATTTTATTTATACATATACTTTATATTTATTATATCAAATACTCTCACGCAAAGCTGATTTACAAGTATTTTAAATATATACATTCTCTAAGTGTTCCATTATTCTGTTCCGATATTTGCATTAGTATACAAAGCATATAAATTTAGAACCAAATTTTTTTTATTTTTGTTAAAATTTGTTAAATATGAATCTTATTTCGAGAAATGTGAAATATGAAAATTATTTAATATCACAGTTAACAAGAGAATATTTAGATATCGCTTTGTTGACGCCTAAGTACTCTTTAAACAAATATATGGAGAAGTCATCACAATAGCATTTTATTTGTAGTATTTGTATATATTTGAGTCCGAAAATTTAAAACTAATATATCCGTTCAAGTTTTTGTACTTAATTAATCTGACAATAAAGTTTATAAAACTTGGCCACCAAGTGCTCCAAGTACATATATATTTGAATGAACAGGGTTTTAAAATGCAACTCTGAAAACTATCAAAACTGTCTAGTGTTTCTTGAAATGAAAGAAATCAGAAATGGCCCTGTAATTAAACTTTTATATGTAACAAATAATATCTTCTTTTTCATTCCATTAAGTACTCAAGAGAACATTGGGCCATAACGAACTTTCTCCAACTGTTACGATTTCTTGCTAGGGTTTTAATTTCTCCAAAGGTTTTTTCGCTTGCTTGGAACTCTTTCTCTAGTGTTCGCTTCTGTGTTTGCTTGAGCCTACCAGGTCTTCTGCTTTATTGAGGACTCCACGTTAACGCTTGTTTGCAACTTCTTGTTTGACGACTTCCTCAATGTGTGCCTGATCCATTGCTATCTACGCTTTTTGTTTTCATTTGCAATAGGAAGTTGGCGGCATGGTTCGGAATTCCTAATAGTGCGGGGCCACCAAATTGTCAAAATTCTCCTGAGGCATTTGTTTTTAAAGGTTTGAAGTTTGTGAACCAGGTTGTTGGTAGTGAGCCAGGTTTCGCAGCCGTAGAGCAGAGCGCTCTTGACATTACTGTTGAATAACCGCAGCTTGGTGTGCCGGGAAAGTATTGAAGAGCTTCTTACTTTATTCAGCAACGAAAAGACAGAATATACCTTGTTAATTCGGTTTTGAATGACTACTGCCGTACCACCGTCCGACGATATTATGCTGCCTAAATATGTGAAGCTGTTTACATTGTAGATTTCTATATCGTCCAGGTTGAATTTGACGAAAGGGTCAGAATTGTTTATCTTCATTGCTTTCGTCTTTGCCGTGTTCACAGTAAGACCAACTTTTCGCGATTCTTGAACTTAGTCGTTGAGTTTATCTTGCACATCATTTTGTCGTGTTGAGAAAATGCGAATGTCGTCAGCATATTCTAGGTGGTGGTCTTAACGTGGTTTTAAAGCCCCCAGCGTATACTCCGTTGTGACTGACCAATAGCTTTAGTAAGAACGTCGTCTAACACAATTAAAAACAGCATAGGTGACATCAGGCAGTCTGTATAAAACTTGAAGTAGTGGTAAAGGGGGTTGACGGTTGCCCATTAAAGAGGACTCTGTACCTGAAATCGTTATATTGTGCTTTGATGAGGTCGACAACTTTCCCGGAAATACCTCTTTATAAAAAGACTTCCGAATAATATAATTTATTATAAAAGTCTTCGCTGTAGAAGAGTTCTCTATCATTAGAAAAATGTGGCGAAAGCATTGAATTACATTAATACATAATTACAGTTGGTCGCCATATTGAATTTGCCACTTCACACCTGATATAAAAGAAAACTCAAACTGATAGACACGTGTATATGATATGTATACACGTATGTATGGCATAATATTGTAATTTAGCGCCAAGTGCTTTGCAAACTTAAAAATTGACAATTTTTCTTCGTATCCTGTTATTATATTTTAACTATGTAGGGTTACTTTCTGTTACCAAATTTAAAAAAGACAGCAAGTCAAACTTATAGATGATAAAATCAAGCAACCGAATCATTTCTTCAAAGAAGTCACCAAAAAAAGACTACTAAAATTATAGAAGTTTTTATTAAGTTAGTTACTTCTAAAATTAATGTAATTTAAGAAATAACTACAATTTCTTTAAAATTATTCGAAGTTTCAAAATCTTTAAGAAACCAAAACGGTAGTATAACCAAGCATCTCTATATCTAGTTTTTACTTAGAAAACAGCTGGCATTATTTGAACATCTCCCCACCACTTATGAAATACTAAAAACCGATTTTATATTTTATAGTTTTACTTTTATTCTTAAACAATTTAACAAAGAATAAATATGTATATTTACGCATATAGCAACATGAGTAAATAAATTAACATATGTTATATTATAGGAGTATATATTTTTAAAGACATACAAATATACTCCATTTACCACAAGAGTCTGTTTTTTTATATTATTAGATTTAATTTAAGAAAATGCAATTATCGTTCAAAATTAAATTATTTGAAATATTATATTAATTATATAAAAAGAAAAAACTTTTTATTATTTCATTAACTTTTTTTGTATTCTAAAAAAAAAACAAAGTACTTTTTACTAAATGCACCGCCTTCAATTGCATCAATCATTACAACCAGACGGTGGTGTAGTTTCTTGAGTTGCATTGGATTCATCCCTCAAATTAACTTGTGAGGACACATTGTTGGACCGTCTTTGATTGTCAGGTAAACTAGTATCACGAGAACGTTCAGAGAGGTTAGTGTAGACCTAATAATAATAAAAATATATATTAATTCATATGTTAAACTTAAATTAAAAAGAATTACCAGTGAAATTCTATTCTGAAAATTAATCATAGATCTTATGGCTTCTAATTCAGCCTTTGGGCCAAATAAAACGTCAAAATTTAAATACGACCCCATTCTTGCGCAATTATTCTCGATACTCAGTAAATGATGTAAATGATAAACTCTTTGAGATATTTTTTTTCTAAATTGACAGTTATATTTTCACTGACAAAAAAATTTAGAAATTGAGACAGCACTTGATATTCTTTCGACAATATGAATAATATGAATTAACCCTTTAAGATATATTTTCTAATTGACATTAAAATCAAAACTGCTGGGTTTTTTAAAAACTTTTTTTATGAATTGCAAGAACAGATTATGTATTCAAAACAAGCTACATGAACTTTGAGTCTTCAAATGATATTGGCTGCAGTGTGTAAAAATCAACTAAAGCGACAAAATATGGAAAAACCATACGCCACAGGTTATTTTTTTTTTTTGCGATGTATTTATAACAAAAGGAAATGTCAAAACAAAGAAGAAAATATTCTTTGGTGTACGATGAGGAGAACTCAAAAATTGCATTTTTGAAAATTTTTGCTAAATAAATAATCATAATAAAAAACTAATGATTTTGGGTACGCATATAGTAATATACACTCATATCATTTTCCTAAACTAATAATCACACTAATGTCTATCAGTTTTATTGAGTACTAATAATATTTGTTTCCATTTATTGATATAACAACACGTCCTGAAATATTTCCTGTTGTTAGAAATAATTAATTGATTATTTTCCTCACAATAGTTCCCTTATAACATACATAATAGGGGA